ATTGAAAGTAAAATACATGATTTAACTCAGGCAATTATTTCATCGTGCATGTCTGTGTGTTTATGTAGAGTAGGTCTCCTGATGTACTACTGAGGTTACTGCTCCCATGAGCCCTGCTGAACTTCCTCCTGCTGAGATTAGTTGCTTTGACTGTATGGTTGACGGAGAAAGTGTGTGAATGTGTGTGCGTGTGTCAGTGTGTATGGTGTGTAGGGTTGTTGAGCATATGCTGAGGTCACATGGGTGTTTGTTTGTGTCTTGGGGCTCGGTGTACCTACAGGCAAGCCACTAATGAGCAGATCTGAGCTCGAGGCTTTCCTATGAGTTGTCTCAATTAGTTAACTGCTCAGTGACGGGGAAACGCACAAATAATGTTGATTTGTTAATGAGACGTGTGGAAATAGACACACAAGGCAAACTATAGCCCCTGATAACATTCACTTGGTGTGGTTTGTGTGTTTTCTTTTTTATATCAGTCATGTTTAGATATTCATTCGCTTGTCCTTTTTGTATTGCTGCCAAATGCTTGACGTTGGATATGATGATAAGGTTTCCAAACGTGATTTTAAATGACAGAATTGCGATAAAGACACACACATAAACTCAGAAATGCACCATCCAATATAATCATCTTGGTGTTATTTGTTTCTCCCCGCAGGTATTTCCTATGGAAGACAGGGACTGTGGTGCTGATGCTGACAGCGTGGCAGGACTTCTTCACCTGGCCTCTGGTCATCTTCCTGCTCTCCTGTTGCATTTACCCGCTGGCGTCCAGCTGTGCTCACACCTTCAGCAGCATGTCGGAGCGGGCACGCCACATCTGCTTCTTCTTCGATTATGGCGCCCTTAGTTTCTACAGCCTGGGTAGGTCCACACACACAATGTTGTTACCTTGATTCAAACTGGTGGGAATAATTGCATTCAGTTTTGCTTAACAGCACAATGTAAGTTTACAATTGCTTACTGTCGTGTGTCCTGCTGCAGGGTCTGCAATCAGCTACTCAGCTTATGTTTTCCCGGACGAGTGGGTGAACAGCCTCTTCCACCAATGCTACGTCCCCATGGCTGTGCTCAACACTGTGGTGTGCACCGGCCTGGCCTGCTACTCCAGGTATGTTGAGATCAGTAACTTTACACAGAGAATAATCAATCTAAATGTTTTCTATCAGAACAAAAGTTTTACATGATAATGAGCCTGCATTTTCCTGACAAAAAGCTAACATCAGTTATTCCCAATTTTAAATCACAGAGTTTAGCGTTTGTTTGTCTGAATGGTAAATTACTGAAGGCTTGTAAAGGAAGGGGTGAGTGGGGGTATTCAATTGTTTACAATCTGTAAATGCAACGCTACATCCTGCCAAATCCTGCCAAATCCTGTACACTGTCCCTTTAATTAAAAGTAGCAATAGTACAGTGTAGACATACTTAATTTTGATCTTGCATTAATAATCTGAATATGCAAAGTAATGTGTACCTAAAAGTATCAAATAAATGCAGTGGAGTAAAAATAAACCACTTTTACAATGAGTGGAGAAGATATACAAGTAATCAGAAAATCTAAAGTTGGATATTGTACCAATTTTTTTACTTAAGTATTTTGCTCTTCACCACTGTCCTATTGTATGGCATATTTTGTAACTGGTTTCAGATGTTTGTGAATTTCCGTGTGAGATAAATCCCACCATATCTCGGTTGGCAAAAAAAAGCAAGACTGGGTGAATAGTTTTCATCAAGATCAAGAATTATTTTATTATACAATGAAACTGGGAAATCAAAACTTTGTGGGACCTTTCTCACCCATTCAGTAATACAACACTGTTTCCCCTCTATACTCAACAACCATTGTCACATTCTCCGCACTGTTATCTCTTCTCTGAATTATTGTTTTCTCAGTATAACTAATTTATTGTTCTTTCACTCATCTCTCCCCGCTGCTAAGACTTGGCTTACCATTTCTGCAATATAATCATGACATCGTAAAAAGGTAAAGACAATGCATTTGGCAAGAATTCTGCTCATCCTATAGTTTCACTATTCCATCTTAATGTATTGAGCATGTTGATTTAACACGTGTGAGTATTGACATGTCTTGAGATGAACTTCATCGCAGAGACATTGTTGAGTTTCACGAGTTACTCTCTGTTACAAAGGGTGTAACCCTATCGTGACTATAGAGACAAACCCTAAACTGATTCCCAATTGTATTTTAGTTCCAGTTGGGCCGATTAGCAGAACACGTTTAGCGGGTTGCACTGACTGTGTAATTAAGAACAAATTATTCAATTTTTTTCAGATTTCATGTGAGTCCAAAGCTCAGCAAATACCTCCGTGTTGTTGCCTTTGCCTACCCCTACCTGTTTGACAACATTCCTCTGTTCTATAGGGTACGTGCACATTTCTTTACCTCACACATGTGTCTTTACAAAAGTCAAACCTGAAAGGATTTATGTCTCTAAAGTGTCAGAGATAAAACTCATATTTAACAAAGTGGTTAATCTTTAACTGGAATGACATTTTCGCTAAACATTAAGGAGCTACATTTTTTTCATTCAGGGTAGATCATTGACTCTAGTGCTCAATGCTTACACTTTCATATAAATGATAGTGTGTTAATGCCCATGGCAATGGTTATTTCTGATACATTCATATAATCTGATATAATTTAATCACTGTATGAGCAGCAGGTTTGCATTTTTTAAATGCACATTGGAAATTAACATGTTATGATATGATATTAATCCAGTCTTACAGTGAACAAGTTAACATTCTGTTTTTCAGCATTGAGACAGGAGGCACAGTTTTATTGTTAAAGATTCATTTATTGTCGTAGTACAACACAGGGTTTAGAGTTGTTTAACGTTTCCAGTAAGGACTCAGGATGCTTGCTATTGCTCCTTGGAAAACGCTAACACGAACTTAGATAGAGAGTTTTGCCTTCTTAAGTGTCTACATACCTTTCATACATTTCCTATTTATTCTGATCAGCCTGAGGTTTGCTTGTGAGGAAGTGTGGTACTCAAGTGCTACATTTCAATCAGTTTCATGGGAGAGAGAACTAGCAGCTACTTTTAAAGGAGTTTATGCCTCATGGTGAAGAAAATAGTAATAATGGATGTAACACTTTAATTTGTTCTGTGTGTTTTTTATTTACAGGTTTTTCTGTGTGTAGGAGAGGGCTGTGCAGACAATGACACAAACATCCTCCACTGCAAACACATCACCTTGGCTTTCCTCACAGGCTTTCTGTTTGCCACACATTTACCTGAGCGCCTGGCACCTGGCAGCTTCGACTACATAGGTACAAGGAGCAGCTATTGATGTCGCCTTGGTTTCTTTTCCCAGTGTGACAAACACCTACAAAGAATTACCACATATGTCTGCTATTCCCCTCAGCACTAAAATGAGATCCTCATTATTTGCAATAAGTTCTCAAAACCAATTAGCAAAAATGTGAAGAAACCTTGAACAGTAAATTGATTATATCAATACGTTTATATAAATTATTATGTTCTAAACCTGCAGCATTATTAAACAAAATAGAAAATGATACGGAAGGTTAATTTCCTAAACTTGAGGGCTTGAATGTACTGCTACTGTTTTTCACTTTGACATGTCAGTGTGCAGCTTTAAAGACAACTCGACTGCTCCCTCTGCAGGTCACAGCCATCAACTCTTCCATGTGTGCGGTATCCTCGGCACACACTTCCAGATGAAGGCCATTGAACAGGACATGATGACACGGCGCCCCTGGCTCCTTGAAAACTCCATACCCATCACCTTTTCCAACTCAGTGGGTGCAGGGCTGCTCTGTGTGGTGGTGAATCTGACTATCATCCTCCTCTTCAGTCTACCTCTCCTCTCTGCTCCAGTCTGTAAAGAAAGGCAACATTATAGTGGTCTAAAGAAAGTATCAGCTAAGAGTTGCCCCTGCTGCTGAACCTCTGGCTCCATAAGCAACGGCTAAGGATTCCCGGCACTTCACAACACATGCAGACATGTCAAAAAGAGTGCAATAGGGGGACATAAAACATTTTAAAGAAGACTCCTGAGCAAAGAGGAGCTGATCTGCATTAAAGTTATGGTGATGTTTGGTCTACAGACATCACTGGGATGATTGCTGTTACATGAGTCAGTAAACTTAAAATGATAACTTGCACAAACTGGAAATTATCTGTTTAAAAAAATACAAATGTAGGATGTAAATTACACTATGAGGCACTGCTATATATGTGTATAAGCTATTTGTTGCTCAATACTCTGATTTCCACTCACGTGGAGTATGAAGTGATGGCCAGCATCAAGGAACAACATCTATGTAAAATTAAAAATGCTAACATCACTGTCAATTTTAAATTGTAGTGCTGCATTTAAAGTGCTTGTGAGTGCATGTATTTGATAATATGCACATCATTCGCATGAAACGTATTGACAAGGGAAGAGAATTTATGAGATGCCTTCAAAGAAGCAGCTTAATGAAGTTAGATTTAAATTACTGTTAATGTATTATATGTAACACAGAGTAAATACAGAGTAGTTTATTTCCCTCGATGGCTGTTTCTGTCCCTGTAGAATTTTTAAACGTGCCACATTGTGCCTTAATGATGCAAAACTGAAAAGTATTTATGTGCAATATTATTTATTATTGTTTTTCAAATAAACATTTTACCAAAAATGCCTTTATTTTTTATTTTTTAAAGAAAGAGTCAACACTGTCATGAAAAACAATCTTTAAACTATCTTTACATCTCCCTCATGCATTTAATCTTCTGTGATGTTCTTTGTTTTTTTAGATTGACATTTCTGTTGCATATATACATATTAGGCGTTAAAATTATATGTGTTCAATATGTTCAACTGAAATATAAAATTCTTTCTACACTTTATTTTAATCTTTGAAACATGATAAAAAATATATGATTCAGCCAAGTAACATCGGGCCAGCGCCATATCGGGCTAGATGTTAGGGGCGGGACTTCCGCTACTGACCGCGATGTCTGCTGTGTGATTGGTTAAAATATATGACACTCAGGAAAACGTGTCACAGAGGGAATTTCAAATCGAGAAGAGGCGGTCTGTGTTCAGTGGAGAGGAGTTTAACAACACAAACAATGCAGAGACCAAAGTGAGTATCACCGTGTTTTTATATTTATATTGAGCTACCTAACTGGCAAACAATGTACAACTTAGCATTGTGTTAGCAACATGAGCGAGGTATATAAGGTATTCTGCTAGCGCTTGTTCTGTAGTAAAATAGTGTTAGCTTCTCATGTTAGCATAACGTTAGCCCTCGTTCTAGCCTGCTGGCGTTAGTCACTGTTGCCAACTGGTCAATATCGGGATGTGAGAACACTAACATTAAAGAGAATATTACACCAGTTTGTGTTGTAACTCTGTGAAAGACAAAAACACGTAGTCGAGCTTTGGTTATGTTAAATGTAAAGTGGCAAATGTCAATGTAAGTTCATGTTTTTTCTTCTGTTACTTACCTGTGAGTTGTCGTTAGCTGGTGACACCTGAGCTAACATAGCTAGGCAGCGTAGGTTATACGATAGGACGGTTTTAATATATACATAATATGTATATATTAAAACGCCACTGATAGTATTATATGATATCATAGAATACTATCAGTGGTGTTAGTAATTAAGTACCATTTTGTGGGATTTGGACTTGAGGGTACTTGAGTATTTCATTGTTTTGCTACTTTGTGCTTTTATCCCACTACAATTCAGAGGTACACGGTGTACTACTAATCCACTAATTTGGATCAATAATGTGAAGTATTATCAACACTTAAATAAGACTTTAGTTACACCTGGAGTAACATTTAGTATACAATGTCATTAAAACTAGCTGCACCTTTACCAGCTTTGATAACACATTAATTAATCTATAATAATAATCAAAACATATAATATATATTATTCTGAGATGGGCTAATCTGCATAATGAGTACTTAAACTTTTGATACTTTAAGTATATTTGCTAATACTTTTCTACTTTTACTTGAGAAACAATTGGAATGCAGGAATTGTACTTGTAACAGAGTATTCCTATACTCTGGTACTTCTACTTTTACTTAAGTACAAGATCTGAGTACTTCTCCTATCTCTGAATATTACGCGGACGCCATATGGCCTTAAGTATGATGACCCTTTTGCCATCCACATCACTGTGATCACATATGTACTGTTTCAGCCTGGTTTGGCCTTCGTCCCTCTGTTAATATGAAAAAAGTCTATCTGAGACCATAGTGTGTTCCTGGCTCTGTGGAAAGTTGTAAATGTAATGTATATTAGTATTATTATGTAATTTTTTAGCATTATGTTTTTGTGTTTGACCTTGATTCTATATTTCTGTATCAATTGCAGCAAAGGGAAGACTCCTCGGAGGCCTGGCCCTAAAAAGGCAGCCAACATAGATAAAGATCCTGTTGGAGTAAGTGAACACTTACTTTGACTTTCCTGAAACTTAAACAATGTCACCCTAAAGTTACAGTAAGAGGGCTGCTTGTGTCAAGCCCTCATGAGACAACCACATAGACAACTGACCACAACACTAAACTAAAACTGAATTGATATTGTTTTAATCTAATGATTCTTACAGTCACAACATACAATCACATGTATGTATGGACTTTATCTACAACCATGGAGTTTGTGGCAACATCATAGGTTAATTTAGTCTTAAGGTTTGGCAGTTGTGGTGGCTTCATCACACTAAACTAAATCTGTTCTTTCATCTTTGTAGGTATACTGCCGTATTCGGCCACTCGGAGCAGAAGATGAGGAATGCTGTCTTGAGATGATCAGCAGCTCCACTATTCAGCTGCATGCTCCTGACGGCCTTAAAGCCAACCGCAACGGGGAATACAAAGAGGTGAGTGTGCTTGTCCCTGTCTGCTTGGCGAGTCACCTGAGCTTTTAAAGCAAATGGACAATATTTACTCTCTTGTGCTGTCTCCTCACATCTCAATCAGACGATAGCATTTAAAAGAGCTAGCAAAGAATAATGAAATGCACCTGATACATTTCTGTTGACCTTAGAAATACCAGCTTTCTACTAAGACGAGTCATTTTGTGAAATGACCCACATGGTTTTACAAGTCAGTTATATGGTTATTTGTCAGCAAGTAAAAAATCATACAGCCGTACTGAACAAATCCACAATTATATTTTAGTAACGCTTTTTCAAACAGACGCCTGAGCCTTTCTGTAACAGGTTTAACATATTATTATTGTAATGCAATGTACTACATTTTCTGTTGAATGCCATTCACATGTACTCTTATTTTTTTTATCCTTCAGACACAGTACTCATTTAAAAAAGCATTTGGTATTAATACCAATCAACTGGAGTTGTTTGAGGATGTTGCCAAGCCTCTGATAGAGGACCTTATTCATTGTAAAAATGGTAAGTTCATTAAAGTATGACGTATAAAATGTGCACTTTACAGAATCTCATTAATTTACTATTTATCCACTCTGGTGCGAAAAAGGGAAATAAGTTGATTATTCAAGTACGATTGGGACTCATCACACACACGTTTTAATTGACCGACATTACATATCCTTTTACTAGTATATCTGACAAATCAGTCCTAATTGTCTGTGTGAACGGTGGTTATGTGAGTGTAATATTCCATTTGCATAGGTCTGCTGTTTACGTATGGTGTTACTGGAAGTGGTAAGACCTTCACCATGACCGGATCACCTGGGGAAGGTGGGCTGCTCCCCCGCTCTCTAGACATGCTCTTCAACAGCATCGGCCCCTTTCAGGCCAAAAGATTTGTAAGACTTTATCCATTCATGGTTTTTTTGTAGTTGATCTCTAAAAAAAGAGGTTTTCATTTTCGGAGAATGTTGGGACATTTATATGGATGTTTTTTATAAATCCCACAGGTTTTTAAACCAGATGACAAAAATGGGATGGAGATCCAGGGTCAAGTAGATGCTCTCCTGGAGAGACAGAAACGAGAGAGTCAGCCCACTGTTCCCAAAACGCCATCCTCCAGGTAGCTATTAGTGTCTTTATTTTTACTTCTTTATACTATTTATGGTTTTTAAAAAAAACGAAATTAGAGTGAAATGACATTTTTAAATGTAATGCTGTTCTTTTGGTTTATTTTAGGCAGAAGGCTGACCCAGAGTTGGCTGATATGATCAACTCAGAAGAAGCGTGTAAATCTGAGAATGTGGATGAAGACTGCTGTTACAGCGTTTTTGTGTCCTACATCGAGATCTACAACAACTATATCTATGATCTCCTCGAAGATGCTCCGTTTGACCCAATCAGACCAAAGTAAGAGGCAGCATTTCATATTGGTGGGAGCTTTTTTAAAAGGACTGTCTGAACAACAGTTATTTGTTATTATGTATGATCTGGCACTGTCATCAACTTAACCCACACAAAGAAACACTGCTAACGTGATCTAAAGATGTTTTTCTAGTTGTAGTGCACCAATATTTGTGAGTGTGAGACACTTTGACTGTGCTCCGTGTATCTGCTGAATAAGCTAATATTTGAAACACTTTTCTGTTGACACGATGCACTTTAAAAAAATCCTGTTTTTGTCAGGTGGTTCGCTGGAGGCACTCCTGTACGGAACAATGAGTTCATGTATGTGGCCAGTGAAAGTCCATTACTTTAACTTGGCTGTAGCTGCTGTCCCATATGTCGTCAGTGCATTTCCACCCCATTAATCCAAATCCCTGTGAATAGCATACATGTAGCTGTCTAGCTTGTTGTGTCTTCAAGGACTCCCTGCTGTTGCTCTTAGTGTAACAACTAAACACATCCCTGAATGGCTCCAAGCTTATGTGCATGAATCTCTGTGTACCCCTGAATGTGACCCCCGGAGATTGTATTTTGTTTTTATGTTATTAGCACTAACATCATGTTGTTTTTTCATTTGAGCTTTTGATGCTTGTCTAACTAAAAGGACACATCATACAGTATGTTGACTATTTGTATTAACTTGTTTCAGAGCACCTCAATCCAAGATTCTCCGCGAGGACCAGAATCACAACATGTATGTGGCTGGCTGCACAGAGGTCGAGGTCAAATCCACAGAAGAGGCTTTTGAAGTATTTTGGAAGGGTGAGTGCGTGGTCATAATTACTTGCTTCTTTATATACTTTATTTGATGTATTTTATTGCATGAGGTTTCCCCGACGCGCAGGAACATTCTGATTGCAAACTTATTTCAAACTGTTTTTTATTCTTAACTTTTGTATCTTCTCATAATGGAAACTATAAATATTTGTTAACACACTGATTATGAAAGAGTTGTACTAAATGTCTGTATTGCATACAATGAGGCAGGCCAGTTTTGACAGTTCAATGCCCATAATCAGAAAGTCATGATAGATTTACACAGGATTCAATCTGATGATTTATCAAGGAGTTCTTGTTCTTCTCTTGTGTCTGTGTTGTTGTTCCTGTCACTGTTAATAATGCTCGTTTGTGTCTCCAGGACAAAAGAAGAGGAGGATAGCCAACACTGAACTCAACCGTGAATCCAGTCGCTCCCACAGTGTGTTCACAGTGAAGCTGGCCCAGGCTCCACTCGATGCTGACGGAGATCACATACTACAGGTGTGGTGCAGCTCCAATATTACATGGTTATTATTTATTTAAAGCCAAATGAGCCTTTCTGGTTTTAATTTAAGCAAATCAGGCTGTGACAAAAAGCAGACCAAATTAGTAGGGTCATGTGTTACGCACTATCCAGGCGCTATTTGGTGATGCAAACCGCATGTTACATTGCAGGACAAAAACCAGGTGAATGTGAGCCAGCTGTGCCTGGTGGACCTGGCAGGCAGTGAGCGGACCAGCAGAACCAGAGCAGAGGGAAGCCGTCTGCGAGAAGCAGGTCGGTTTATTTCTTAACTATTGGCTTCTGTCTGAAGTCAACCAGAGGCCCTTTCTGTGTATCTTCACCATTAAATCGTATGTTAATGTTTGGCCAGAATCATCTCTAGTAATGTCTCATTTTCAGGTAATATCAACCAGTCTCTGATGACCCTGCGCACGTGTATGGAAGTTCTGCGTGAAAATCAGATGTGTGGAACTAACAAGGTTGGTGTTTGTTAATTATTGTATAATTTGATTTAACTGTTTTATCTCTTTTTAGTGTAATATTCTTCTAAATGTTTCATATTGGTCACTTTACAGTCAATGCAGTTTCACAGAGCCTTTATTTCCTTCCAGATGGTGCCATACAGGGACTCTAAAGTTACACATCTGTTTAAAAACTACTTTGATGGCGAAGGAAAAGTGAGGATGATTGTGTGTGTAAACCCAAAGGCTGATGACTACGACGAAACTATGGTGAGAAACCGTTTGTGTTGCAGAATGGATTCAATGTAAATATTTGTCAAATTTCAGATTCTCTTTAAGCTCACTTGCTTTCTCAAAACAAATATGTCTTATCCTTTGAAAGGCTGGCTTCTAATCGCAGTGTCTTGCGTGACTTTTGTCAAACCACGGGGGAACATTTACAAATTCATTTAAAGGTTATTAATATATACTTAATGGTTTTATTTTGACCAATGGTGTCCTGACAAAATACAGGCTAGCTCAAAGACTACTTTTGGCACTTTGAAACTTCTAAAACGTCTAGGAGCTTTAAGGACTTTTTGAAGTGTTTTTCTAATAGATGTATATTGTATGTGCTGCAGCTGGTGATGCGCTTTGCCGAGATGACCCAGGAGGTGGAGGTGGCGCGGCCCGTTGACCGGCCAATCTGCGGCCTTACTGCAGGGCGCAGACACAGAAACCGGGTCTTCAGAGATGAGATGACACGTCGCATGGATGAGAGAGGAGGTTCAGGTAGTTCAGGTAAACCCCCCTCAAATCTCTTATACTGTCCTCATTTAACTCTGGACACTTACATGATAGATTTGCATTTCAGAAATGTATCTGTTTTAACTTCAGATAACTAATCTAACACAAAGTCTTCCATGGCTTGTTGTTATTCACACAGTAGATGACACGGCTCTGCTGGATCAGATGATGGAAAGCCTCCCAGCCTTGCCTCGCTGTGAGCTGCTGGACCCGGCCGATGATCAGACGCTGCCCCGCCTGATGGAAGTCCTGGAGAGGAGACATCGTGTCCGTCAGATGATGACGGAGCAGTTCAACAAATCTGGTACAGGCCCATTCTCCAAACTACAAATAATTGGTCTGGTTTTTACAGAAACAACTTTATTTCAGATTTTAGGCACAGGGTCTTTGTTGTCATTGAGTGGATATTTAAAGATCAATTTGTAACTTGAAGAAAATCAAACATTAACCGTTTGCATCAATCATTTTTCTCCCACAGCCACTACACTGAAGTCCATGCTTCAGCAGTTTGACAGTCAGATCAATTCAAAGGAGACGTTCCTCCACGACCAACGAAGCAAACTGAGCGAGAAAGAAAAAGTCATCAACAGTCAAAAGTCTGAGCTGGAACGATTAGAGAAAAAATCCAAAACACTGGAATACAAGGTGTGTCCTTAACTTAAAAAGCTCTCTTATTCTACCTAGTTCTACATGTGCTTTGCATCATTTTAACATGCTTATAAAATGAAAGATTTGTATAACTTATTTGTTACTCCCACTTCTTCTCCTCTTCAGATCGATATCCTGCAGAAGACAACCAACATGTATGAGCAGGACAAGCGCTCCCTTCAGCAGGAGCTGGAGACACGGGAGCAGCGGCTGCACAGAGAGCTGACGGAGAAGAAGCGCATGGAGCAGCGCATGCAGGGCATGGTCACAGACACCAAGCACAAGTGGGAGAAGGAGTGTGTAAGTGGACTTATTCAAAGCAAGCCTACTATTTTTAAGGTTGGAGTATTGAGCATTACACATACAGTACTTGTATTTAAATGGGATTTATATGTATGTTTATGGCAGGATGTCCACCTTCTGTGTATTGGCAGCCCAGAATGGCAGTCACTGCTCAAATAAGTTATAGAGGCCACACAAAACATTGATTGATGGTTAAACTGAATGTAGAGGGATGTACGATACACAAGTCAAACCACAGCTTAGCCGGCACAGTTTACAGCAAAGGACAAACCTAACGGGTACTGTGGCATACCACTTTACATTATTCACCTAAGCCGGTCTTAAAAGTTACAATGTACACACAACCAATGGGCGATTATAGTACTTTTTGCCATATTAGGTATGCAAATATGAATGGAAAACATTTATTCACTGATCCTGATATCCCTCCACGAACTGATACAAGAAGCATGTTTTTACAACTGAACGTAAAACATATAAACTGACAGGTTTTTATAAAAGTATGCTTGAAAAATAATAAATCCCCAAAACAGTGGATTACTTATACTCACTTTATTGTATGTTTGCACCCTAAACTTTTTTATCAGGTAAAAAAGTCGAGTACACAAACTAATTATTTGGTAAAAATGCAATCCTTTCATTTAAGAAACAAGAAATGTGAGCCATAATTCCTCTAGATTATTAGATGATTTGATGACTCTTCAGTTAGTACACACATCTTCTGATGCTCAAACTTGAACACATCATCAGGGTTGCTTCCTGGAGTCATTGGGTGTTTCGGGTCTTGCAACAGACGCCCTCTTCCAGCCGACCCGACCGAGGTTGATCAGACCTCATCCTGTCTTCAAGTTGCTTTTCCTACTGGCCCCACTTGTCACCCCTTTTCAGCCAGAGCCATCTCGATGCTCTCTCTGCTGCCTCCACGTTGTTCTTTATGTTTGCTGGCGTCTTCTTCTAATTAGGAGAGGCGAGTGAACGCCAAGCAGCTGGAGATGCAGAACAAGTTGTGGGTGAAGGATGAGAAGTTGAAGCAGCTGAAGGCGATCGTGACGGAGAGCAGCGGCAGTGGGTTTCCATCTGAGCGCCCAGAGAAGCCTGAGCGGCCATCGAGGGAGAGAGATCACACGAGGTCCGCCTCGCCATCCCCCCTTCAAGTGAGTCACTTACTCCAGGTCATCATTCTCTTATGAAACTTGATTTAATGTGGAAAATGTGCATGCCACTAATTATTCATGTGATCATCTAAACAAGATTTCTACTGTACACCGCAGCTTCTTCTGTCACTCTGGTGTTGTATTTGTGTTCCTCTCGAGCGCCTAACATCCACAATGCTTGGCCCCATTCCCTCATCACTTTTCAGGACTTCAACCAAACTCCGTCCCACCAAAATAGAGCCATTGTTAGGGCAGCTCAGGACCCTCACTCTACCTCCTCCTTTTCCTCCACCACCACCACCACCTTCTCCTCCTCCACCTGCTCCTCCTCCTCCTCAGTCTATCCCTCAGTAGCCTCCTGCATCACAGATTGGGAGCACAAGTTCCCCGTAGACTCAAGCAGCAAAACTAGGCAGCTTGGGACTCCCCAGTGCAGCAGCCGGACCCCCGGCCCATACCAAGGTGCCAGCAGCGTGGGTCGCAGGAGGGGCCAGCGCTGGGCCGCAGACACTGAGGCCCCCGCCCCGACCGTGTATGGGCTCGACCTAGAGGCAGGCACCAGGGTTAGTGTGTGTTAGAGCCTAGATGTACCTAAGGATGTTCAGCATGTAGTTAAAGGCTTGCTTTGTTGTAGTGTTATCAGTAGTTGTCTGCTTGTTTAGAAATGCATAGAGTGGGAGCGCTGCATCAGTGTCGGCTGGTGTTCCTCCCGACTTTAAGACAGACCTACCCATCGTGCTTGTGAATCGTCTTGCCTTCATTGGGAGCCCCAGTAGTAGTAGTAGCAGCAGCAGCAGTATTTTTGTTCTAGTTTTTTCTGTTGCCTGGTGCGCTCTAGAGAAGCTTTCCCCTCGCACAGTTTTTCTTTTTAACGTATTTCAGTAGCACCACTTAATTTAAATGGACAAAAAGTGACATTCTCCACTAAAATAAGCACAAAAACAGCCTTACATTTCCTTTTGATTTGTTAAATTATTGTCATATCTAGGCCTAGTTTCCAGTCTATTTAATTGCTGCACATTTTTTTTATTTTGTCTTACTCCATTAATCTGATTAGCAGGGCCAGGCTAGCTTTCACCATCACCATATAGAAATCAAAAGTTCCATCAACAAGGCGGCCTTACAAAATAACAGTGGAGCTCCTTATTGACCTGCTCATGTTATAGTATACCAGATGCCATTTATCAACAACGAGACATCACCTGGGCTTTTGATACATCCGCAACCTGCAAATCACACTTTTTCTTGCGCCGCTTTGCATGTTTATTCCTATCCCCTCTACAGGGCTGCTTTGGTTGCAGTGTGTTTTAGTTACTTTATGAAAATTGGTATTACTGGAAGGCCAGAACATTGTTTGGGATGTCATTCGAGAAGTGCTACATTATCATATGAAAATACGTATCCCCCTAAAATAAAAATATAATGGAGAATTCTAGTACATGCACCTGTCCCTTTCGGCCTTTCAGTTGTACATTTATTTTCAACACTAACACCTTCTCGTGATCAACAATCACCACTAACCCCCGTAATGGTCCCTGGTGTCACATGTGAATAACTTCCTGGTTTGTCTTTCTCACTCTGGGATCACCAGACGGCCCCTCCAGTTCGTCCCACACACAGGCGCTCACACTCTGCGGGTGGGGAGAAATGGGTAGACCACAAACCTGCTTCTAATTTGGACCTAGACACTGTCATGCAGCCAATCATACCCAATTCAATCAAGGTGTCGACCCCCAACGAGAAAGCTCTGTCTAAATGCCAAAAGTATGTGCTTAGACATCAAGAGCTTGCCTCAGACGGGGAGATTGAGACTAAATTGATCAAGGTAAAATTACATAATTACTTCATTTGAGACTTTGACGGATTATTTTATATCTTGCATGACTTTTAATTAATCACATTGTTTTAGATTTCAAATTCAGGTCTGTTTTCTCTTAATTGTGAGTAAGGGTTTTGTTGTGTATTCTCCTTTTGTGTGAGTTTTTTGTTACTTTGAACTTCCTCAGGGCAATGTTTTTAAGACCAGAGGAGGCGGACAGGCTGTGCAGTTCACTGACATTGAGACACTAAGACAAGAGTGCGCAATGGCATCAAGGTACAGTATTTGCCCAAAGTACTACAGGTTGAGATATTTCTGTAAGAAACAAATTGATAGGATAAACATTCTGGCCATGTATGTGTAGTTTTACTCTTAAACATACTGAAAAAAGACATAGACACAAATTCTTTTTTTGGCTTAAGCTCCTCCTCCCAAGACCAGGGCTCTCGACTAACTTGTTTTCCCATCCTCCCGGAACCGTCCCGAAATACAATCTAAGCCGTCCCGAAATTAATGTGGACCGTCCCGAATTTAAAATGTTAGTTTTTCTACATTATCATTAGTTAAAAGCATTCAAAGTGACCTTTAACATAAATAAAACATCATACAAATCATTAGATGATAATTCATCAACTTTTTTATTTGAGTAAATCATTCAATCACATAAACAAAGGCCAAATATATTTAAACAAACACACAAATGAGAAAATTACTCTAATATTGAATCCAATCAAGTCCCATCCAATTAACAAAACAATCCAACACTGTCCTGAAGACAGAACCCAGAGTAACCACTAACCAGGATGACAGTCTGTAACACAGTCAGGAGACCTTTACAAACGGCCCGCCCCCTTGCACACAGACGGGAGAGAGAGATCTCGTCTGGATTGGAAAGCTCGAAAATACATCATAGACGCATGTTGTAGTCTTATTGCATGTTAGAAACGGAGTTGGTGAAACTAAAACTGCGATATAATGTGTATGTAGCAATAATACATATGACATATATTTTTTAAATGTCTCCAGTACCGATAAAAAGTCCGATAACGTCGGAGTTTAACGTTACCACTGTCTTTAATAATTCCGGCCCGGTGCCCGTTTAATACCGGGGCTCGGTACCCATCCCTACATGGGGAGAGGCTAAATACGATGGAGAGTTCTCATCTCAGCCTTATTACCCATAGGGGATGAAGAGAAGTAAGTAAATAAAGAGGCCGGCGCTCCAGGGTCTGGTTCTGCTGTGCGTTTTTGTGATGGAACGGTAAAACATTTCAGAATTCCTCCACGAGATGCCATTGTACATCACTCAACCATAGACTGTATAAGCACTCATCCCGCGAAATACACACACTCAGTACATAGCTAGACCCGCAAATTTGCGGGCCAGGAATTCGCTGGCACAGCCAGCTGGGCGGCTGGCTAACAACCAGCGGCACAGCTGTAGCTATGTGTGTGTATTTTGCGGGTTTCTAAATGTTTTGCGCATGTGTGTTTATGTTGACAAGGAGGTTTAATAACTGTGTGCTACATAAAACGTGCAGTCGGTTTCATTTTCATCGCCGTTTGTAGTAGAGTTAGCAGGGTATTTTTATTTTAACTCTCGTCCCAAATTCGTCCCAAAATTATTTGTTATCCTCCCCGACACTATTTGTTTCGGCCCCGGGACGACGGGACGTCCTTAAGCTCGAGCCCTGCCCAAGACTAAATCTATTGTGAGTCATTTGTAAAAGAAAGTTCAAGTTTGGCCAATCATTCTCAATTGTTTTGTTTCAGTCGCAAGAGGCACTCGGGGTCTGGAGATGGAGCAGCTCATATGGAGGACATAGAAAACAGGGTAAGCTCTTAAACACAAGACATCAATATGATATTGCTGTTAAACTGTATGTGTGCAATTTACAACATGATTCTACTCGGGTATCAATGATTAGGGTCTGTAGCTAACTATTTTTCAAAGAGAATTCCTGATTTCATATAAATTGGATAATTTGATGTCCGTGCAGTTATCTTTATTTTCAACTCTTCATCTTTTCCCCTCCCATCAGGCTCCAGTGCCCAGCACAAGTTCAAACCTTGGGTATCAAAAGTAAGCAAATAAGTGTGTGTTTGTGCCAAAAGACTGTTAACCATGTAGTGTTATATAAGAGTGCAGCTGTTGCATTGGGTTTTAAATGAAGGTTATTGAGGTTTGTGCTCTTATTGTTTCCTTTTTTCCAGACGCAGAAAGCCTTGAGCTGCTGTAAATATGAAGGATTTTGCCTGACGGTGGGAACAGTGAATGGACCTGCATGTGGAAACTATGCATCTTTTTGAGTCACCACATTTTTCTATTATGACTGCTTTTTAGTACACATTTTTTGAGTGCTATTTATTTAATCAATTGCTGGATTCGTTTGGTTTTTGAATGTAGAATTATTACTTCTTAAAGATATGGATACAAAATATGGCTCAAAATTAGTATTTGGTGATACATTAAATAGTTAATTTTGTAATCCTTCACTGCTTTTGTACCTCTACCCAAAGACTAGATTATTTGAGCTTTAGAAAACGATCTTTTTTAAATGTACTGCAAGGGTTCTTCATTTATAGGATATTGCATTGATCATATCGCCGATTACAAAACAAGTATAGAACAGAGTTTTTTTTGTTTAGATGAGATGTTAAGTAACTTTGGCTGAAATCAATCTCTGAATAACTGTAAATAAGTATTATGACATATTTTACTTCTGTGAAACAGTGTATCACAGCAACATGTTTGCTGGAATAAAATGCATTGAAACACTAAGTGTTGTCAGAAAGGTTTCTTTATCCAAAATGACAACAACAAAAAAAGGCAAATTAATGCTATTTATTTAGTTTGTTGTTATTGTCTGTTTTAAATTATAAGGATATTTAATAGCATAAAGTCCATGTTGTGCCTAAAAGTATGCCAATTAATATCTTAAGGGGAAAGGGGAGTCACTGTCAACAACTTGTATTTAGAGAGAGTGAACTCCACGAGCTACAGGTCAAACACATGTCCTCTGACTTTCTATCAAAGCCACAGTGACCCTCAGCCTGAAGTCAAAGGCTCTCTTTAAGGCTAAGCACACAGTTGGCATTGCTGACAGGTTGACATGTTATTCCTGTTTGTGCAGCGTGTTGGCCCGTCAACAGGTGAGAAATGTCTTCTCACTACACAACTGGATAGAAACACACCAGGAGCTCTGTTTATTTTCCTGCTAAAACCTGTGAACCTGAACTCTCCGCTTGTGTCAAATTCTACTAAGATGTTTCTAATGCTTTGAGGGTGTCGGTGTTGGGTAGAAATGTATGAAAGACAAATTGATATAAGCTTCTGGGAGCAGTTTATCATCTTCTGTATGACAAGTGCTAATTCTGAAAAAAAACTACCTTATAGAACACATCCAATTCTTTTATCCTTTTCTTTTTTTTTTACATTTCTGGTTTGCTTTGGTTATGTTTTAATGGCACAGAGGTTCAATTGTGTGAGTGTTATGTGCTTTACTTCATTAATACTCGTAAGAGAAGGACACTTCAGTCTGACATTTGTTAGAAATAAAAGTAATCTGAATATAACTTGGCACAGACGCGTCACATTTAGTAAAGTCATTTAGATGATGCCTTTACCCAGAGTAACACTGCTGTATTTCTCACTTGTAAAGCATATTAAATTCACTGTTTGTTCAGTAGAGGGGACAGGAAATATGTAATTTACAATGTGAACAGCAGGTGGAACTAAATACCTTCAGGAAGAACATATATACTTGTTGAAAGTCCTTAAGAAAAAGAAACTCTTTCAACAACTTACTTTCCAGACCTGAAATGACCCATTAATGAAATGAGTTTGACTGTGGAGGTGTAATGCTGCCACTGACTGTAGACCATGGATGTATTATAAGTAGACAGCTTGGTGCTACCCAGAATGCTCTGCTGCCTCATTGGCATCATTTCACAGTGAATGCGTGGACAGCCAGGATGACAGGCTCACTGAACTGCTCTTCTGCCTGGGTGATGGGCTGTATTTAATGTATCTCAAAGATTGACATTTCCAGCATTTACACTTCACAGCAAATGAAGCTGAAAAGTGTACGCGTTAATGGGTAATTTGACTATGGAAGTCAATGGGTTACTGCAACTGGTTGATCAAATGTGATCATTTTCTTTTTCCATTTAGAGCCTGCTCAGCATGAAACCATGGAGATTGTTTGCTCACCTCAGATTTTTTATAATAACCTCATCTGTTCTTGTTGATAGTTTGGTTATTATTTTTTAACACATGAACATGTTGTAATATAGGGTCTTATTCAGTTATTAAATGGCTTTTACACTATTTTACAGCAATACTGAGATTTTCTATTGCTTACATATTGGTGAGGATGTTGTATATTTTATGTCAAGTAACCGAATGTGTTCAAAATCAGAATGCGCACTACTGGCCAAGTATGTTTTACACATTTACATTAATTTGTAAAAAGGATATTTATATAAATGTGGCAATTTACAATATCTATATACATTTCAAAACTGAGTCTGTAATTGTTTACCAATAGTGCAAAAATGGGGAATCTTTTAGTGCATAGATAAATACTGAATGGATAACATAGTATTTAGTAAAATTAAATATCTTTCTTTTAACAAACATGATAAAAAAAGTATGTTGTATTCCAATATCTTACATCTGATGACAGCTATGTACTTTTATACATAATAAAGCTATAGACAAGTAATTAATGAATTGACCCTTGTTTCCCAGTATGCTTACAGAGTTTTTAAAACAACAGTGTAAAAACTTCTAAAGGCTAACGCATTAGCTGTCATCTTAAATTGCCAAATATTACTTGGTAATTTCACTCTATGTTGATGTTTGCTGACCACATGATGTCCATCCTGTCTCGTGGCCGTATCAGTGTGAGCACCAGTTGGAAGTGGTACAAATGTGGGAAACAGCTATCAGCCATTCATCAATCCTTGTGTCTCTTGGCTTGCCTGTGAAAATATTGACCCTTCCTTCCCCCTCCGTTTAAGTAGCCAACCTTTAAGCAGTGTCGGAGCAAATACCACATGACAGCACTGCTTTACTAAATGGCTTCTTTAACTCAAACACTCGCTAATGGCTGCTTAAACAGGCCTCCTTATCCATGGCTGTGTGTTTGCTTTGGTACATTGTATTAGACCAGTCACCTTTTTGTGTATTGCTGAGTGTGAAAGTGTGAGATTACAAAACACTGTATTTGATGTTTGAGGCTTTTACGGTGTGACACAAGTGTGATGTGTATACACAGTGTGTGGTGTGTTTTGTAGGATTGTGTACACACACACAGACGTGTTGAAGTAAAAAAATAAAGTGGAAAAACAAGCATGCTGTTTAGTAAAGGATGTGGTGTGAAAGGTTAATTGTGTTTCAGGTGATGAGGAACAAGATCAAACTGGGTTTGTATTATATTTTTGGTAAATGCAGACTTTATGTTACACCAGCCAAACATAACAAAATAACTACATCTAGCTAACTAATAATATGGTGGATTATCTGCGTGTGGGTATAACTAGGACATCAAAGCCATCAACTGGTATTTATAAGCTCCATTGTGCACTAAAATAATTACACCTGCTTTGCGTTTAAGGTCATATATTTTTTATAAAGTTATTTGGAAAATAACATACAGTATTAAGATGATGTTTTGACAGGTTTGTTTTGTTTGCCATGTTTGTTTGTTTAATTTTTTCATTTTGGTGAACGCTCGAGATCCACTCACTTACTTGTGAGCCCCACAGTTAAACATAAGTTTAGTTTAGCAAGAGAAGGTTTTATTTAAATACATCATCAAACATTGGGGCCTTTAAATGTGGAAGTCCCTGATCCATATACACCCCCCTCCTTGCGGGCAAATGGTTTAGTCCGCACCTGCAGTTTGACGTTTGAATAAGATCACAATATTTGTATTTGAAGTCAAGTTAAATAATACAAAATATATACATTAGGAAGGAATTTAATAAGTACAGAAAAGCAACAGATGACACATTCAAGTCAGAAAAAAGGTGAGCCCTAAATGTGAAGTTAATCCTTCTAGGTTATGTCAGATCATTTAAAATAGGCCTGATTATTTGTGTTGTTCTTTGACGGCTAATTAGCTAGTTAGCTTATGTTTTATAGTACGAGTAAAGTACATGTACTGATATGAATGACATGTACGAAAGAAACAGGTTACTAGCTTTTAGGATAGTAATGATAGACAACTTTGTGACGTGAAGTGCTGAGGCCACAGTATTGTTTTATACATTTAAATGCCATTCTTTATGTTACTCACAGGCAAAGTGAGCAATGTTCTGAAAAAGCATGGCCGAGACCGAGGCACCTGTTCCCGACCATCTGAGGAGGCTACTGAAGACAGCAGACAAGGTAGGAAGATTCACCAGTGTCCTATGTGCCTTTTTAAATGCACTGAATTAGAACTGTGATAAAAGAAGCAGGGACAACAATGTTACCACCTTTTAGGGACAGTCCATGAACCAAGTTGTTAGGGCTACTTATGTATGGCAACAATCATAACAATGATTATTGTGCTCAATATTGAGATCACAACTATTTTACCCAATGACTGATTGACTGATAACACCATGCGTTTGCAAAAGAACATTTTAAAGTAAACTCATCTGGTTCACTTTGAGGCCCTGATTTGCTGTTTACTTTGCAACCAAGCAACACATTTCTGGACTTGTATTGTTCCCATTGGTACCTGTATCATTATGCCCACACCAATGCACCCCTTGTATTGTGTAATGCAAGGTTAGTTATGACCTGAACATTTCTTAATCATTCTGTATTGTGCTTTAGCTTTGTCTCACATGAACACAATGGTGAGGTTAAACAAGGTAGCTGTGGCTGATTGGTTCTCTATTGTGTCTTTTGTATTGATAAGGGTCATTTAGACCAGGGTGTTATGTTTCATCTTTGGCTTTTTACAGTAGTGTCTGTAAATATGAAGACATACAGTTAGCCAGTGTTTTGGTTTAACCCTCTAGTTGTTCCAAATTACACTCTGTGCCACCATTGTCTTAGAAAATATATGTTAGGCCCCTTCCAAATCCACCCCCCTTCTTTCCACCTACCTCCTGTGTCTCCTCCCGAGTCAACAAACAGTGTTTGTGCAGCCGTTTGTGTGTGTGTACATGTGTGAACATGAGCGTGCAGAGTAAACATTGGTGGTTAGAAGCTGTACTGGGTTCCCTTGTTCCCCATTTAATGTTCAGGTCTCACCTCAGTTATCCATATATACTTACCTTACAAGTTGTTAAGTGGAAATCAACACAGTTGTATCACTTGTGTGATCGTAAAAAAAATGCGTAGCAATTGTAAATAATGTTGCACTTTGCAGTAGGGCTGCTCAATTAATCGTATTTTAATCGCAATTACGATTTTGGCTTGCAACGATTACGAAAACAACATCATCGAAATAAAACGATTATTTATTATTTTGAAACATTTTTGTATTGGTTTTTCAGTTTTTAAAGTTCAGGGTAATCAACTGTTAAAAATATACTGTTCACATATTTTTTTCAATAAATGGATGTTTTCAAATCAAATGGATAATCGTTTTGAATAATCGTGATATCAATTATTGACCCAAATAATCGAGGTTATGATTTTTGCCATAATCGAGCAGCCCTACTTTGCAGATATGGGATTTAACCAATGGGACACTTTTTTAAAGAAAGGTGATAAACCAGAGCAAATGCAACTTCAACCTTATGATATTTATTCATAAACTACTGAAACAACATCAT